ACACGACGGCCACGGCGACGCTGCGCAGCGATGAGACCATCTGGCTGGAGCCTGAAGTGATTTTCTCTGGGCCGCGCCATGGTAAGCACACAAAGCATGGTAAGGCGACCCTGAAGCACAGCAAGTAGCCCCTGTACTCTATGTCCCACCAAACCTCACACACATATGTATATTTTTTTTTATTGTAGCCTTTGAATTTCCACAGATCAATTACAAGAAATATGCTGGGAAACCTTACACATACACGTATGGGCTGGGGCTGAATCACTTTGTCCCGGACAGGGTAACTATCAGTGAACGGGTGAGGTGCGACTTTTCCATGAGCTTTGAGCTTAAGGGCAAGAAAGATTATTTCTGAGAGGCGGGGTTTTTGGTTTTTTCCCTACCTTTAGCTTTGCAAGCTGAATGTTAAAACAAAGGAGACCTGGGTGTGGCAGGAGCCAGATTCATACCCGTCGGAGCCCATCTTCGTTTCCCATCCAGATGCCTTGGAGGAAGATGATGGTAACACTGATTTGATTTTTGATTTTCATAGCCAAAACATTTCATATTTCAGGATGAAATTTCATGTCGGCTGTTCCCAGTTTAGGGAAGTGCTTAAGCATAAGTCCCACTGAAATGACAAGGATTTAGGTAAAAGCTTTCCTTACTGAAGTAGACAATATGCATTTTAGGAATATGTTTAAGTCTCTCACTGTTCCTTCAACCCAAGAGCTAAATCGTCCCATCCATCCCACAGGGATGCCAGGATCCAGAAAGAGGCATCTTGGTGCATTAAACCTGGCAGAATTATAACTTATAAATTTATAGAGGAATTCAAAATGTTGAAAAAATTAATGGACAAATTTAATATATATTCTGGTCAGTGATGTTTGTCATCAGCCCCTGCAATAGCTGTTTAGTTCCCTTTCAGAATAAAAACATTTTTCAGTTTTAAAAAGAAACACTATAGGAGGTGCTGGCACACCGATTGCAGCAAGGCCCTAGAACAGCCTAAGAAATATACGAAACAGTGTGTGAAATAAAGAATCAATCTCAGTTTGCTTCAGAACTGCTGACTGTGCAATAATAAGGGGATTTACTGATGTTTGTGTGCAATTGGATGCTGGTACCTGGACCAGCCAAGGGAAGGGCCCAGCCAGGGCACCCCTGGTTCAGGTTTGCTGCTTTCCTCCCTGCCAGGGGTGGTGCTGAGCATCGTGATCAGCCCGGGCGTGGGGCCAAAGCCCGCCTACCTCCTCATCCTGAGCGCCAAGGACATGAGCGAGGTAGCCAGGGCTGAAGTGGAGGTGAACATCCCTGTCACTTTCCACGGCCTCTTCAAAAGAGCATGACCGCCACCTCAGCGCATTGCATCAGGTGACCTCCAGCTCCAAAAAGGAGCTTCCACATCCCTTTTTATTTGTGTGGCTGCTTAAGATTGAGCATTTCAGTCCTGTTGATGATTCTTCAAAATATTTAAAGCAGGTATTTTTCAAATGCACCCTTTGGCATTAGAACTGCACAGTTAAAACACCACAAGTTTGGGGTGGTGGTGAGGAGTCTTTTGTTTTTACAAAATTAAACTTTGCAGCTGCAGCAGAATTAAAGACATACGAAACAGCTCAGTACCTGTACATATGGTAACATTACGTAAAGCAGCCTCTGTGTGCTGTTATGTGCTTTGAGAAAAGGTAGTTTTCAGCCTATACTGAAGAATTAGGGATTTCAATTTCCTTCAGTATCCTCAGCACACTCTGAGCGGGGCCTTTCCCCAGCTGCTGGGGCAATCTTGCTGCAGGCAGCGTCTTGTGCTTTGCTGAGGCTGAAAAACCACACACGCGAGCTTATGCGTTTTCTGCCAAAGTGCAGTTTCCTGAGGTCTGGATTTCACATTAAAACGAATACGAAAAATATCAAGCAATTGTTACAGCTTGGGATGAATTTTCTTCCTTAGAGTGCTCTGGACTCTCACCTTAATCCTTCCTTTTCACATTTTCAACTAATGTCGTAAGATGCTATGGTTCTAAATACAAACTTACTGCTAACAGACTTAAAATCCAGGATTCTTGCTTGTCTGCAATGGTTTAATATTTTTATTAATGTTATCAAAGAATTAAAAAATCATGTACATTAAAGATTTCTAGTCCACAGCAGTAACTTGAGAATGCTGGTTCTTTGCAAAAGGCTGTAGTCACATCCTGATGACAGGATACTGACACGGAGATGTGACCTGGTATTTCTGCTGGTCCAGGATCTCCAGGCACTGTGCGATAACCTAATTAAAAACAAGAAAATATGGAACTGGTTTTGGTCTCTAAAAAGAGAATTCTCTGTATTCCACTGCTACTGGAGCACACATTGTCTTTTGAAAGCCTGTTTTAATGAAAAGCATATTGTGGATCTGCACGTGCTGTCAGCTCAGACAAAGCTAAACATCAACTCCATCTATTAGCAAGAACAGGGATAAATTAGCAAAACAATATTGTAAAAAACAGCTGAATATGCAAACATGAATTGTGGAGTGCTGGTAAAAATTTACTCAAGAGCAGCAATGATTCACTTCAACTGTCACGTATTTTCTTTTCATATCTAGTTCATAAAGAGAGGTAGTCCCTGGGCTCTCATACTACAAAATACCTCTCGTGCTCTTCCCTAACCAAAGTTCCCATAAACTCCACAGAAAACATTTAACATCTATGTAACACCATAAATATGTACCATGTTTAGAAGGATTAATTTGTAGTAGGCTTTCTTTGTCATCTTTAAGTAAACAAGCTTCAAAAGAACATTTTAAGTATTGCTAATAAACCAGGAGAATGAGGAAAAATCGAAGAACAAAGGTGATGGCTTTCAGAAAGAATCTAATGGAGTGGATGTTTAAAAATGTAAATAAAAAGGCAGAGTTGGGGGGCCATTCCAAATGTAAGCAGCAAATTTCAAAGCAGGAAGGGAAAGTAGCAAAAAGAAACATCGTAGGACAAAAGAATGGAAACAATGTGGATGGTGCAGAGCCTGAAACAGTGAAGATAGGGGAGATTATGCAAGACTGAAAACAAAGAATTCGGATACAGAATCAAATGGTAAAGTCAACTGAGGAGTTCAGGGAAATGCTGCAGTCACACAACCAGAATTCAACAGAAATGTTTTGGCTAGACTAATGGGGAAAAGATGAGAACTGCAAAGACAAGTAACACAGAAAACAGAGTGAGAAGTGGGAGATCCAGCTCTGGGAATCTGCGTGATGCTGACCTTGAGCGAGTCACAGGTTTGAACATTTGCTGTAAGACCCTTTCGAGATCTGAGCACAAAACGTACTGTAAAAACATGTAACGTAAAACCCCTACCTTCCTAGTATTTTGAGGCAAAATTACACCATCATCCCAGAGCCTGGCAGAGGAGTAAAATGCACTACTTTCTTCCTCTAGCCTGGAGAAGACAGATTTAAACAAGCTTAAAAGCACAAAAATGTAATGAAAAATATCAGGCCTGTAAACCAAAATCAGATGAAAAAGGCACATACTTCAATCTCAAACGAATGTACAGTACTACTGTTAAAATTAATTAGAATCCAGCAAGTAACACAGACCAGATCAGATCATTCTGCAGTACAGACCACCCTCCACACTCAGAAGATTGTGTGTTTAATATACAGCAGAATGTCTTGATCTGGGGCTGTATGATTTGGGGGTCGGTTTGTTGGGTTTCATTTAATTTTGGGTTTTATTTGTTTGGTTGGTTTTGGGTTTTTTTAAGTCAAATATTTGTGTTTCCTCAAGAAGATCCTAAGAGCAGACAAGGACTTAAATGGTAATTTAAAATATTTTTCAGTAAATTCAGGTTTGCTTTATTTATTTGGGATGTGTTGACCTGCAAGATGAACATAAGTGGGTAATTCAACTGATTCAATCCCAGTGTAACTGCAAGGGTTTATGTTTAATGTCCTTACTTTTCTTTCAGATGTTTTAGCTCTGTTTCACCTCCTGTACAGTCACTGTTCCCAGCTCGTGGGACTGTGGAGAGATGTCTTGGATCTACAAGAGCCACTCTTGCATTAGGCCACAAGAACAGGAAGTTTGGACTGAACGATCTCCCGCACTACAAAAAAATGTACAAACTCACTGAAATTTAGTCCCCAAAAAGACAGCTGTAGGATGACACAATCGCGTTCAAGGCAGAATGTAATACAGTTTAGTTTGGAAAGCATTAATGATATGGCTCACAATTCCCTCTGCTTTCAATGCTGCTGTTTTATTATTTCATCCTTCCTCCAAGCACTTACATGTTTAATTCTGAGCCCTACAAAGAGCTGTACTGCACTTACCAGCAGCGTGAGCAGCTCACACAGCAGCACAACTACAGGAGACAGCCTCCTTCAGCGCTGCAAACAAACAGCACGTGCAGAGGAAAAGGCAGGATTTGCTCCTGAGTACGGATATTTTCAGATGACCTCATTTTTTAGAACTGGCTCTAGGTTCTTAGATGCAATTTTCACTAATCACATCTTGCGATGCATTTGTTACTTTAAAAGTAGTTAAAATAACGGATTGAGTTAAATGTCTGTAACAACAGCTGTTCATGGTTTAAAAATGAAGTGCTGTGAAATCCTGGTGTAGTGTGAACAGCCTATTCCCCAACCCGTTAGATTTATGCCGCCCATACCATAATGTAACTTTCGCTCCCGTAACTGCCACCAATTACAATAGTTATTTTGGGAACAGCAGCACAAGCAACAGCACCCATCATGGAGGCCTGGGCTTTTAATCTCTTGGAGTGAGCCTCTGCCTGAAATGAAAATAAAGATTTTAGCTCCTTTAAGTCTCTCTTCTAGCTTCCCTCCACTCCCACCAAACCTGCATTTCTGAAACATTTACTGTATGATCATTTCTTCCACAACAGTAAGACAGCATCATTAACTACCACAGCCCATGATGCACTTATTTAACAACATAAATCAGCAAAACAATTAAAACCAGTGTGCAAAAACCTACAATGCTGAGCAACGCCAGCTCTCCCAGGCATTTGCAAAGCTCGGATACAACAGAATAATGCCAGGCTTTGGTGAGAGCTGGGAGGAACTGGGCTGCAAAAAATAGATCAGAGAATCTAATGTAGGTTTTACTGTGAGGCTCTCTGTAGCCCAGGACAAAATAAAATGTACTTTAATGCCTTCACTTTTCTAAAAGAGAAATATCTATTTTTCTGTGGTATCAGAAGAATTGTTGGGCTGTATTTCAATGTAAAATGCACCACAAATTCCAAGTTTTACAGCTTGCATGGCAGCTGGGCAGTACCATTTTAGATAAGCATGGAGGCCTGCTTAAAATCAGAATAAAGCAAGAATACTAATGGACAGAATTAAGAACAAAGTAATTATGAAGCTTCATGGTTTAAACCATCAAGAATAGTTTAAAAACAGTATTTTCCTAGCAATTAATGATTTCCAAAGTGTAAAACACAACAAGAACTAGAAATTGCTTCAAGTGAGCATATTGAACAAAAAATGCCATACCTGTGAGATGCTCGTTGGCTCTGCTGTGTGGGGAGCAGTATTTTGGAAAAAGAGGATGGGAATGCTCCGATGGCCACACAGCTGGACGAAATGGCTCCCCTTGAGAGAGGCATCGTGAGTCAGCTCCCCGTTGTTGGCTACTACCCCCACCAAGTGCCTGCAAAGCAGACACAGCAACAATTTCACTTCACCATGCAAGGTTTTATTGCGTGGGTGTTATCCCATCTCCACACCATGGCAGAAGGGATGAATGCTCCTGGCTCAGTCTGGGAAGGAAAGATTTAAAGATGCCGTTTTGTATTTCTTAAGGAATCTGCTGAGATTTCAATATTCCAACTGTCTGGCTAGTAATTTTTGTGAGCAAACAAATCATTTCACAAAGTCATGAAAACCATTTATTTGTAACCACTCTCTGCTGCTCTTGGCCGAAGACACAATGAGCTCAGAACTCAGAGACAGATCAGGCTTTCTAGAATAATTTTATTACCAATTCTTGCCAATTTGGAACTTCAGAAACATTGTTAGTGGAAATACCATAAAACCTGACAATGATATGAAAACTGTTTTGACAAATCTGTCCGTACATTCTGATAGTGAAAAGTTACAGCCTTACCCTTCCACGTGGCCAAATCCTGTTACTAATGTTGTTCCATAATTAGCCTTGAACTCCTGGAATCTGCTTCCATCCATCAAACGGCTCAGAATCTGCAAAGAAACAGTCTTTACTACAGAAATCTGCGTGAAAATAGGATAGTTGTGCTAAAAGACACACTCTGTTCAAATACAAAGGAGACCTGTACAGTACAAGACATACTGACATAACAGCATCTCAAACAGCGCATGGAAACCTACAGGGATAAAACGGCATCATCTGTAATTATTTTATCTCTAGCAAGTTTTCAGCTTCAGTATTTTCTATAGTTCTACAGAACTGCTGCCATTCTGCTTTGTTGCAGACTCAGGACAGTTTGGCAACTGACTAGGTAATACTACAGAGTATTTCAGGAACTTCAGGATTCTCCAAGGGAGAACAGTCTGTTCACCCAGAGCTCCTAGTCAGAGCAGACTGGAAAGACAAAGGAGCACAGTGTCTTACCAATTGTACAGGAAGAGTACACCTATAATCCCATGGTGCCAGCCCCAGGAGCTCGTCACAGCTATAGAGAGGACTGTCATGCTCTGTGACCTCCTCTGGCAGTGGATCGTAATTTAGTGTTGAGATAACATTTCGAATACACTCATAGGCTTCCTTTTCTGAAGATGCAAAATGGTCACTACAGCCACTGACTCTGAGAGAGAGAGTAACATTAATTAGTACTGAATGAATAAAATCATGGTAGAAAACCCAAACTAAAACCCTTAATCTGTACTGTGACTCTCCAAACTCCCTGAAAACACTGTGTGAATTTGTTATTGTATGAACAAGCTGGATCACCTGGAGTGGGAATTCCCTACATGTTTTTCAGTCCTTGAGGACCATATTGCACCCTGTCACTGGAGTAGCTTCAGTCACATTAATTCAAGATAAAATGACTTAGTTTCTTGAAAGCTAAGTATGATGAATTCTCTACTATTGTTGAGACTTATTTCACATACTCAGAGTGAAGTTTGGCTCCTCCCAGGTCCTCGGGAGAGACATATTCTCCTGTAGCAGCTTTTACCAGAGGTGGTCCGGCAAGGAACAGCGTACCAATTTTATCAATAATCACAGCTTCTTCTGCCATGGTGGGGACATAGGCACCTCCGGCCACACAGGAGCCACACACCACTGCCACCTGAGGGACACAGAAACCAAAACAAACCAAGATGCTGCAGAGGGAAGAATGGAAATGCAAAAGCATTACTTTTATTTCAGAAACGTTCAAGAGGCTAAATTGCAGCTTGGGGAATAATGAGCTGCAAATACAAATACCAGCATGAACAACAACACTGCTTTTTGAGAGAGTTCAATGTTTGCTCTTAAATAACCTAGCGATTTGATACTTTCCATCATGATCAGTCAGTAAACGCTTAGAATATCCTTAAGGCTGCAGTATTCTGTTACATGAAGTACTATTGGAACCTCCCTCCCCACAGATAGAATAAGTGAGCTTTAGGAAATTTTTCTGGGATCTTTGAGAGTTGTTCCTAGAATCTGTATTAGAACAAAACTTTTTCAGAACTCTGTTATCACTTTTACTACATTTACTTGTGCTGCAAATGACACCGTACCTGTGGGATCCTCATGGCAGACATTCTTGCTTCGTTGTAGAAAATTCTGCCCCCATGGGACTTGTCAGGAAACAGCTCTGACTGTCGGTGCAGAGAAAACACAACGTGAGTTCCAGCACTAACTACAACAGCCAATGCTTCCTCTTCACTCCATTCATTCACAAAAATATCATAACTGACTGGGAAGGTCACCGCTAACAATCATACCCGAAACTTTCACATACAGCATTTGCTGGGGTATTTAATCCCCTTACACATTGCGCAATTCCACAAAAATAGCCACATGTTTCAAAAGCAGACATAAGTTTTGTAATTTTTTTGTGAAACGGATTTATTCTATGCAAACTGAGACTGTAAACGTGGAGAAGGGGAAGCTCATGTTTGTACTTTATCTGTGAAATTACTTCAGCAGTTTCCCTTTTTACTTGGTTTCTGATACAGTTCCTTAAGTCAAAACTTTTTCTATGTGTTTGCTTTTAGTCCGGAGAGGGAACAACTCTAGTCTCTGTGATAATGTGACCTCTGTACACTGGAAAGTAACCTGTACAAATTCTCCTTTTACAGTAAGAATTTTAAAAACTACATTTTTAATGGCCATGGAGTTTACTGCATTAGTACCACAAACATTACAATAAAATACAGAGTAATTTTACAGATTCCAAAGTTGAAAATAGAAACCTCAATGTACTACTCTATTAAAGACACAAAAGCATTTTGGTGCACAGAGGAATACCCATGCTTGGTCAGCACTTCGCACCCTCACTGATATCCAAGTTTCTAAACTTCGATCAGATGCTAGGTACAAGATTAGCCAACATGATCATCACTGTTACAATCCATCAAATCATCTCCTGGACTCTGATTTGTGGGCAAAAGTCAATTCAAGTACAACAGACAATGAAAAATAAAATACAACATGAATCTGAGGTTTACTGCTAAAAATTAATATAAATAAGATAAACAGAGGTATTTTCTTCCACGAAGCGGTTCCAGTATTACCTGCAGTGGTAGAAACGCTCCCCCGCTATCAACAAGGTAGACAGATAGGAGTCTGTTCTGCATGGCTATTTCCTGAGCTCTTAATTGCTTCTTCACTCCGATGGGATAAATCGTTCCTCCTTTCACGGTTGCATCGTTGGCCATGAACACACACCAGACCCCACAGATTTTGCCAATTCCTGCAAGCAGTACCACAGACAATTATCAGGACTCTCTAAAACACCACACACAAAACAAGGGGGACAAATTATATCCAGGGTGTTCTTCTGGTAACACTATATGAAGAAGCAGCAAATTAAGTTGTAAATACCACACAGGGAAGAAATCTATAGCTCTTCTCTGGAATAACAAGCTGAAAGCCTATGACTTCTTTAAAAATCTAAATGACAGAAGACAGGACTTGAAATAAGCAATAAAAACTACGCAGTTTGACTTCTGACTCTTGAGATAGCAAGGAAGGCAATTAAAAATTACCTGCATAAAACTGAAAAATGTAACAATCTCTGACAAAAGATAGGATTTAATACTCTGTTCTTCTAGTTACTTTTTAACCTGGCACC